TCCCGATCCATAGGAGAACAGATACAGATAGATAGAAATTCAGATACATGACAGGCTTGAAACAGAGTCTAATTTGTTTTTAGCGAAGCCACTACGTTATAAATATGTACATAGGCGATTGAAAGGGAGAAAATTTTCAATGCACATTCGGAACTGCATGCAAAGTCAGAACTTCCTCACGCGTACACTTGTATACACCCAGAGCCGCGAGTAGAAGTAGTAGTTAGATACGCATATTCACCGACACACACCCTACGTGCGCATGCATTAAAGATCGAGATAGAAAATCGCGTGGTGTGCCGCGAAGTTTCGGTCTTAGATTAATTAGCACATTAGTATATGTGTATAAATATAGATAGGTAGATAGATAGACAGATAGAGGGAGAGAGAGAAAGAGAGAGAAAGTGCGAGTGTAAGTGAGAGGCTGAGAGGTAAGAATTTGGCGTTTCAACCCCTTTGTTTGCGTCGAAAAGAAGGCAACTATTTATCAACTTTTTCCACGCGGCAAAAAATCCCTTCTATCGATATTTTGCTATTGCAATTGAGCTTGTTCACGATGGCGAGTGTACAGTGCGCGGAGAGAGATGATAGGTAGCCGCGAGAAATTCATTGTTGTAACTTGTTTGTTTCGAGAGAGAAAGCGAACAAATCGACGTTTCATAGTGTGTGTATTTTTTTTTCTTTTGTCGACTTAACAAAAAGTTTGTAAAAGGAAGCACAAGAAAAAGGATGAATGAGCGATCGATGCAGAAAGAAGCACGACTGGAAACACATTGAGTGGTCGAGAATGAGGATATCATGCGAGAGCGGATCTTGATAATGGACCTTTTGCGATTTTTCAGATAGTATTATGGTTATATAGCTGTGAATGTTTTCATTGCGGATTTTTGGTGATTATTGTTAGCTGGAAATATCAACTCGGTGTTTTCCGCTCGCAAAATATTCCCGAATTTGTTGTAGGTTTTGAAAGCTGAAAAGATTGGAGCTGTTGTACGATAATACTTCAATTATATACACTGACATAGCCACAAAAAATTTAAGGCCAAGGCTATGTGTTATTAACTTCTTTTGCGCATCTAATAATGATAAAAGATTTTTGTAAATATATCGTTTAACTTCTTCCAAATACGTACGTCGCAAAAAACTGCCGTTTTTTTATTATTATTACTATTATTATTATTCATCTTCGTTTGTTACAAATTTGTACGCACGAATTTCGAGCACTTCTACCGCGCACAGTTACATATTTTGTTTTTGAAAAACCATCGATCCGAATGTGTATCGTAAAACCACGAATTCCACACGATCTTCACGCACGGGATTTATTATAAAGCGTTGCCTATACAAGAATTATATAAAAAATTAAACTCATTAATTTCGTTCATTTAAGCGTAACTGGAGTCTACACTTTTCGCTCTTTTTATCCTAAATATACCGTTTTGCATATTTTCTTCTGAGGCTTTCCATTCTACACCAGCACTGTACGGAAATACTGCCAAGAGGAACTAAGTTAACCCACCAAGACTCTAATCTTTCGTTAATTTGAGTTTCTTTTTTTTGCGCAACGCGATTCTCTCTCTAGAAAAAAGAAAACAAAATATGACAATGCCTTTGATATATTTTCACGATGAGCATACGTATCATGAACATATATTGGTGTTTTGAAAATAACGTGTTGCACGAATCGAGAGTGTGCGCGTCGTATGCACGCTTGGCGTTTTGGTCGATGTATAATATAAAGTGGTGCTCGAAAAAGCGAATGGCAATCGATATAAATCTATATTTTTGTTCTCGTTGTACGAAATCGTTGTATTTGCGTGATAGTTGCAGTGGCTTAAATAAATATTCGCAACAAAATAATAATGATATGAAAATGAAATGTACATGAAGGACGGTGATATATGAGAGAATGGAAATAATAAAGTGACAATGATTATAATTCAAAAAAAGAACATTTTTTCACATAAAAAACATCAATAATCAATACAAATATAAATAATAAATGATCCAGACATAAATAATGGTCATAAATAAGTATAATGTATGAATAAATAGCATAAAATCATAGTGTAAATATATAAGTCACGATTGCCGAAATGTATATCATGAGTATAAATACTAACTAAAGTATAACTTAGCAAACCAATAAATTGACTTGACTACACACATTGTAAGACTCAAACAATCAAATAAGGTATTGAAGTAAATGGTGAAATGTTCGCGCAGCTATTTACATTACTAATCGTTCTTCGTTTCTAAATGAAAGAATAAAGTGTATATCTTAGTTGGTATTCGTTGTTAATTGCATCGGTGCTGTGGTGAATGAAATTACAAAACCAAATGGTGCCAATAAAATGTTAGGCGCAGAGCGAGTGCTTTCACTTCGAAGGCTTTAATTACAAAAATCATCATTGAGTTCATCATTGACATTTCACCAAAGATATATGTATATTGACTAGATTTAATTGACGAAATGAAGAATGAAAGCTAATGCACTGCGTTGGCGCGCGCGCGCGCGCGCGTGTGTATGTGTCAGTGTTGTTATTACGCTTAATACAAAAATGGTGTACTACTTATAATCATTTATTGCTCTACAAATCGCTACGTGTATATAATATAATATCGCTCTCGGGGCTTGTATCGCCCTTTCTCCCTAAAAGAAAGCATGTATTTTTTCGTCTTCTTTTTCTTTGGAATGATTTCTCTCTCTCGACTAGCTTATTTTATTTTCAAATAATGCTCGCACAAACATATCGCAGTCATTCTTTTTTCAATCACAAGCCGATTCGAAACGCTCAAGAACAAAAATATATTGCGTCAAATCTGCCTACTATACATGCATTAATTATTTAATTATGTATAATAATTATACGTATCATTCTACAGCCTTATTACTCATAATATAAGTTTAGAATAATGTTTTCTTTATTCTCTCGTTAAAAAATTGCTTTCGTTTACACACTGCTGATATAATAATAATAATAATAATAAGTATTCCTACGCGCGAAACGAATCATATAATTGTATTATAGCTGTCAACAACAAGCATTCGATAAAAAAAAATTGTGTGTGAGATTCGCTCGACTTGAACGATTCAAGTTCGAACGCTTCAATATGATTCGACTAATTGCACGGCGTCTGGGATTCATTTGTATCAAGCTTTCGAGATCGCTTCGGTACACTCCATTCTCGAGATATTTTTTGGCCAAGGGTATAATTGACTAATTCGATAAAAATTTTCCTGGAATAATATTAGCATGCCTTCATACCTCATTGACTACCAACGCGAGCTAAGCACGCGTATATTATTGACTTGCGAATTTCGCACATTCTCTCGGTAAGTCGATCGGAAGCGACGCGAGTTTTTGACTAGTATACACCTTATTAACATCATTCGCTCTCGCAATTGAAACGCGCGCGTCCTGACACTCATAGTAATTTACACGATCACTCCTCGTAGTTCACCATTTATATCATTGGAAAGCGCCAAGCTACGATATCGATGCAAACAACGCGGCTTTAGAACTCCCGTGCTTGTCAAACGCTTTTTGCTGTTATGAGGGAGGAGGAATACTGCTGGGAAGTACTAATGGAGAGGAGGAAGCAAATCTATTTCCTTGAAAAGGGACTTCGTCATTAGATTTTTCGATGTTCTAGATTAAGAGTTAATTCGTTGTGTCGAAACATTGCTTTCTTCTTTTCTTAACTTGCATGTGGTGTGGTTATTTTTTTGTTGTTTTTTTTTTCGTTTTTTAAATCGCTCATTAACAAAAGTGGAGTATCGTTATTATTTATTTTCTTATTCGTTGAGCGGCGATTTACAATGCTTGGCATTGGAGCTACACAAAGCGCGTGGAGCTTCCCGTCTCTCTCCTATAATGAGTTTTGGTGTTGGCGCTAATGTCATTTTGTTTACTGCATACACGTGCTGCTGCCTCACGCTCGATTCTCCTCCGCTTTTAGTCTTACATATTGCTTTTGCGGCGTGCAGGCGCATTTTCACTATCAATTAAATTATTAATGCTGTTGATTAAACACGTCGTTGTCGTCGCTCGTCTCGCGTCGCGAAATTTCCGCGCGCTTGACGAGGTGAAGCGAGAGACTTCCACTCGTGATTGCTCGCTTTCTGCGAAACTCTCTCTCTCTCTCTCTCTCTCACACACTCTCACTCTCTTGTGAAAATGCCTTTAGCGTATCGAAGGCACTTTATTTGCGAATCCCGTCGATCAGCGTTACAATCGCGCGTTAGCACAACTCTTCGTTATGCGCGTATCAGCTGCTAATCACATAAACGCATGGGACTAATTGGCTTTTCAGTCATCGTCGTCATCGTTTGCCAGCTCTCATCACGCGTCGATGACCCACTTGTCCGCGAGCAATCACGAGCGCGCTGCTCGCGTGTTCCTTTTTTCATTGCTTTCCGATTTGTAGCTCAAAACAATCATAAAAAATTACAACGAAGGACCGTCTATCTACGCCGTATATAATAATCGATGTAGGAATGGCTCGATCGCCAGATTTTTTTATTGGAATTACGCGTCTCCCGAGCGACAATGCGTGACTAGAGGTAATAATATAAGATTAGGCGTAGCTATGTTAATCGAGTTACTGTCATAAATATACGAATAGACTAAATGGATTTTCATGATTTTTTTTGTCCTTTTTGGAGTTATCGACTAGAGTGACTAGACTGCCATAGCGTGGACGCCAAACAACACATGGTTTTTTGTATTTTTGGTTTGTTATTCCTCATCTGCTTGCTCGATTTACTTAGGCTTAAACTTACTGGACGTTTGCTTAGTCAATGTTTTAAATATAATCATCGTCGTTTTCTACGTGATACTGGCACTTTTCTACTTATGACCTACGGCTTGATACACGTGTGTCTCGTATAATATATATATATATATTATATATATATATTATATATATATATATATATATATATATATATATATATATATATATATATATATATATATATATATATGTATCTGCGACTCGCCTCGTCTCGAAAGATATACCCTAACTGTATGTTACGTGTATATGATCTCGACCATGATATATTCATATTTATACGACGCGACGTTGGCGGCGGTGTCGGGGAGGTTGGTGGTGAGAGTGTGTTGCTCTGACATGCGTACTAAGGTTCACCTCGTCGCGATGCTCGGCGTGCACGTCCCTCGCTGGCGCGGGCGTGGAGGCGGTCCCGCATTACCGTGCCCCAGCGGCGGCCGGCTACAAGCCCCGCTGGCTGGACTGCGGCTGCTGCTGCTGCTGCTGCTGCTGCTGCTGCTGCTGCTGCTGGGCCAGCGGACTGGCGCGGCCGCTGGCGGGCGGCAGCGCCTCGTCGTCGCGCAGGCAGGCGGACTCGAGGTGCTTGTTCAGGTAGGACTTGAGGGCGAAGGTCTTGTGGCAGCGCGAGCACTCGTAGTTCTTGTCGGCCGAGTGCGTCTGCATGTGGGCGCGCAGGTTGGACCGGTCGGCGAAGGCCTTGCCGCAGTGCGCGCAGCCGTAGGGCTTCTCGCCGGTGTGGCTGCGCAGGTGGCCCTGCAGCAGCCACGGCCGCGAGAACATCTTGCCGCAGACGCCGCAGCTGTGGGCGAGCTTGTGCGTGAGCACGTGCATGGCCAGCGCCGGCATGCTCACGTAGGCCTTGCCGCAGTGGATGCACTTCTTGGCCGACTGCGAGTCGAGGCTGCGGTGCGTCTGCTTGTGCCGCGACAGGTTGCTCGAGGTGGCGTACTGCTTGCCGCACTCGGTGCAGGTGAACTTGGGCCGCTCGGCCGGCTGCCCGGCCAGCTCCTTCTCGCCGCAGGCCGCGGCCGCGGCGCCGGCGCCGGGCCCGCCGCCCGCGGCCGCGGCGCCGAGGGCCACGGCCCCGCTGGCGCGCCGCTTGGAGCGCCCGTCCGACACGAAGAACGCCTCGTAGGTGTAGGCCACGGTCTTGCTGGTGGCGCCGGCGCCGGGGCTCGACGCGCCGGGCTCGGGCGAGCGCGGCGCCGGCCGCGGCTGCGGCGGCGGCTGCGGCGGCGGCTGCGGCGGCGGCGGCGGCTGCTGCAGCGGCACCAGGACGGACACCGGTATCGGTTGGGGCTGCGCCGGTGGCAGCGTGTGCACGAAGATCGAGTGGCTGGGCGCGGCCGGCGAGGCGCTCAGGTCGAGGATCGCCTGGGCCGCCGACAGGTCCTCCTCGGGCGAGCTGCGGATCTCGGTGCTGCTGGGCTGCAGGCTGTACGGCCGGTAGATGTCCTTCTTCTTGGGCGGCAGCGACAGCGCCGTGCCCGTGCTGGTGAAGCACATGCTCAGGCTCTTGCGCGGCGGCACGCTCATCGGCGGCTGCTGCGCCAGCGCCGCCGGCGACTCATGCTCGGGCACCGGCTGCTGCTCGTGGAGGTGCGTCGGCGAGGGGACGAGCGGCCGTGCTAGTTCGGCGGCCGAGCGCAGAGTCGCGTACTTTGGCGGGTCCTCGTGGTTGATCCAGGACGGCTCGTGAGTGTAGCCTGCAACGCAAGAGAGCAGTCGACGAGCCCGCGTCAGTCGAGCTGGCGGGAAATTCGGCCTCCGCGGCCTCCGGGAGAACGGAAGCCGAGCCGGGGGGAGCGCTGCCGGGCTCCGATGACGAACCGCGCGGCCGTGTATCGATTGGAGCGTCGTCGAGCGTGACGCGGGAGCGCGGTCGCGGCGGACTGCCCGCGCGGGTCGAGTCGCGCCGATAAATCATTAATCGGTCTGGCGGCGTATAATTGGAAAGTCAGATCACGTCGTTAGCCGAGCGCGAGGAGATCCGTGCTCGTGCTGGGCCATCCTTCTTATTTCCTTTCCGCGCGGCCGGCAAACTTTATCCTTTCCATTCGGGAGCTCAGCTCTATATATCGGCCACTCGCTCGGCTACTGCGCGTACGGGTCCTCGATCATTTATCTCGCAGTCTGGCTGCCGGGCGCGCATATACGTCGGGAGGAACGTCGAGCCGGGATACAATTAAAGCCTCGGCGGAATCTTAATTTGCCGAGCCGCTAATAAATCACGGTAATCACCGGCAAAGTAGCTAATCTGTCCGCAGCGCTGCTGCCGGCGCCGCCACTGAAATACTCGGGCTGATTAAAAATTTTGCCTCGGCCAAAGGCATAGCGGGAAACGGGAGAGTGAGAAGGGCTTGAAAGTGGAACTGAGAAGAAAGAGAGCGCGCGGAAAAGCCCAGCGGGTGAGTAATGAAAGGATATGACGAGTGCCGTCGCGCTCGCGCAGTCGAAGAAAATTTAATCGACTCGGAAATTCGACTGTTCCCGGCCGCGAGCGCCAGCGCTCGGGCGCCGATGAGCGGCCCGGGCCAATGATATTGCTGCGCAACGGTTCAGGCGCAAAGGCTCGCTTTTGCATCGCCGACTCGTCTGCTAAGTGGCACAAGAAAGTCAATCGGCTGCAACGTGTCCGCGTTGCGGCCGTAGCAAAACGGCTGTCTCGGTGAGACCAATCGTGCGCGCTTAAGTGCGAGCGAGGAAAGTAGGCTGCCACCGCCAAGTGATAAGCGAGTTGTACGGCTAGTTTAATCCGCACAACTCACCGAGGACAGTCACGTTCAACATACGACAATGCGTAACGTTATAACGCAAGTTTCACCGGTCATCGGTGAATACGAGAACGGCATATCGATTAATGAAAGATCGTCGAATGAAAGATTAATAACAGGAGCGCAGGTGGTGGCGGGCTAGCGGCAGGATTTTCGGGCTACGACAGCAGCGGATGTCAGCGCGCCACGCGCCATCAATTTGGCCAACATTAATAGAATTAAGGTGCAGGACGCTCGCAGATATCGCCGCTCGTGAATCACTCTCTCTCTCTCTCTCTCTCTCTCTCTCTCTCTCTCTCTCTCTCTCACTCTCTCTCTCTCTCTCTCTCTCTCTGGCCGCAGTATTTCATTTCCTGCTGTAACGGACAGCAGCTGGTGGCTTTGCTCGAGCGCCATGTGCACGTAACGCACACGGACTCGACCCCCTGAGTTGCTTCTCTCTCTCTCTCTCTCTCTCTCTCTCTCTCTCTCTCTCTCTCTCTCTCTCTCTCGTATCTGTTGCATGTCGTACCACCCAGCGGAGCGCTCGCTCGCGGGCAAAAAAACACAGCCGCGGCAACGACTCCGAGCCAAGTGACATGTAAATGCATAAACAATCGTGTCGCTGCTCGCGTGCCTGCATGAATAATTCATCGGGCGAGCTAGATGGCGCAGTCGGCCTGCCCGACCCACGAAAACTCGACGATAAGCGTGCGATTAACATTGACGAGTACAGCGAATCGTCCTTATTTTCAACGAGCAAAAGGTGCACTCGGAATGCTCGCCGCTCCGCGAGGCAAACTAGAAGCTGTAATCGATGCTCGAAGTAAGAGCGAGCCTAGCCAATCCGAATCGCGCCCGCTAGTAGTGTCGTAATGTAGTACGGCTCGCTATCCGAAAAGCAATTTACGTGGCGCATGAGAGCGGGATCGATTGGGGGTTGGCTGGCGTGATGCATTATTGGCTGAAATAAAGGGAAGTCGGCGTAAAAAAAAGCGAGGAAGAAAAGTGCACTTTGCCAGTGCTCGCGGGGAGAGAGAAAGAGAGAGCGAGAGAGAGAGAGAGAGAGAGAAGTGGGTGGCAGCAGCAGCGGCGGCGGCGGCGGCGGCGATCGATAACGCGCACGTTCATTCGTTTCGCTCCGCTCTCACCCTCTCTCCCTCCTGTTGATGCTCGTGCGCGCGGCCCATGGCTTCGTGTGAGAAAGCTACTGCACGCACGTAGAAAGAAAAGGCTTGCTACCGAGGACTCCGAAAATTGCGCGATCGATTGTTCCAGCGATTGCTTTTTTACGCGCGCACTGTCCTGGTTAAATGGGCCGTGCCAGACGCACGCATATCGGCCAGAACAATGGTCAAAGTGTCGAGCGAGAGAAAGCCGGCCGCTACTATGCCGTCACAATGATCTTTTAAGCTATTCATCGGCTGTGTTGTCCGATGCCTCCCTTTCTTCTCTCTCTCTCTCTCTCTCTTTCTCTCTCTCTCTCGTTTTATTTGTTTTTGTTTCGAGCAACGTACATTCGCTGCGCTCCAACGTACAGCTTTATATTTCCTGCCATAGCATGGCTACAAAATAACGTATTTTCAGGATGATGAATAATTAAAACTGCACTTTCATCTGAGGTTCAAAACGATAACCTTCACCCAAATAAGAAGAAATACGTGTCACGTCTCATTCAAAGTTCGCAGCGAAAAATCGAATTTACGTTTCGTCATTTGCCCCAAGATTAAAAGAAGAAACATTGATATAACGAGCCGTGTATCTATAATCCGAGTTTCTCCAAGAAATTACAAGTCTCGTCTAATTGAGCGGGGGAGGCAAAGGGAACGCAATTTTACCGCGGAAGTAGCTAACCACTTGTTGGTCGTTCATTGATTTTCGGTCACTTTTACGAAAGAGAAAGAGAGAGAGAGAGAGAGAGAGAGAGAGAGAGGCGCGCTAGCGAGCGAGAGAAGCAGTAAAAGGACTCACGGCAAAGGATTATAAGGCGGAAATTACGAGAAGCTTGAGTAAGAGAGAGCTTCGTGGCAACTACAGCCTGCGATTAAATAACTCGTCAAAATTCCCGATTCTCGGCTTGCTTGCAGAATTCGCAGATTCACAAGGCTTATTGTCGCAGGTATATAATAAAATTCAAGCTGAATTTGACCAACTAAAACCCGAAGGCTACACGTAGGTCGATAACATCAACTTGATTACGCAAACGTCGAATTATTCGCTTATGATGTTAACAGTTGAAACTGGGACGAGTTCAGATATGTAACATTTAAAAAAAGAATTGCGTATATATGAGAAGTATTATGAAAAGTGGATCGAAGTCAAGGAGCCCTTAGAAATTTGTCGCGGGACTAACAAGTGAGAAAGGAGAAAGACACCTCGATAACGGCTTCGGCTCTAGCAACGACAGACTTATTAAAGAAGCCACCTGTCGTCCGTAATAAAGATAAGCGAATTAAACGTTACGTCGCCGCTCGCCGAATGAAATTCAAGCGGCCGATTTTACTCCCGAGAGATTGAAAAGTAGCGCATCGAAAGAACAAGTTTTTTCTGCTATCGGTTTTCTTTCTTTCTCAGGAAAAACTCGGAAAGAAAGATTCGACCATCAATCATCGTACAAGTTATTCACTGTTCGTGCCTTGCGACACTAATCTATTGCTCAATTTAGTCGCGGGCTTACGCAGTATATCTAGGCATTGTTGCCGTGGCGGCTATAGATATGTATCATCAAATACAAATAGCTCCTCCTCCATAATTCAATTCGACTACCCAACGCGCATTATCACCTGTGATCGCTGATCTATAATGCAAATGTGTTTGCGGCGCAGAAAAAAGAAACAGTGTAGCACGTCGTCGCTCACAGCCGTATTCTAATTTCAATACAAACACAGATGTCGTCTGGAATGTGTCGTCTCAATTATTAATCACGAAGAAACTTTTTCGGAAATCAAAGCCACAGCGCATTAAACCGAGGATAAGATAAATTATGTGTTGAGCAAAAAGGCGCGAGGAAAATAAGGGAATCATTGGGAAGAGCGGGACTCAAGTAAGAAAAGACTCTGTCTACTTGTTGTTGAGCGGGCAATAAAAACTTCGATTAGCAGTTGGGGGCTTCCCTTTCCAGCAAAAACGTATCTATGTCCGTTCTACGGAGAGAAGAAAAACAAGATGAAGAAGAAGAAGAAGAAGAAGTAGAAGGAAGAATAGAGTCTGAAAGACGTCATCCCCTATTCGCCTACGTTGGCTTATCTAGCACCGCGATAAAAAGCTTCGACGCGTGACAGCCAATCAGACGCGCGCGCGTCGAAGGGTAGATGAAAAAAATACGCTATATATCTACGACCAGACGACGGGAGATGGGGTCCTGCGCGAAATTTATTCGGGAAAACTGCTCGTGCGACCATCATCGCCACGCGCCAAGCGGCAGCCTAATAATCAATATAAGCCTGACTGATGATGCTCCAAATAGTACTTGTATACAGCCTGCGAGCAACAGCTAGACCACCGTTCCTTTTGCTTCTCCTCTCTCTCTCTCTCTCTCTTTATGTCTCTTGCAGATTACCCTCAATATCTCAGACTAAAAGCATACAAGATCGATTGATCGGATATCCTGCTGGCAGGCTTTCACTTTGTATTACCCCGCTTTTTTCACTCTGTCTTCCCCCGTTTTCCAAACATTCCGAAATGGCAATTAACGAGAGAACGCAGCTGAGCAATCGAAGCGCATTGGAGAAAATAACACGGCGAGCGATGAAAACGACGCACGGGGGTGGTTGAACCCCATGCACCCCCATGTGGTAACCACGCCGACCAAACAAGTGGTGCTCGAGGGCCGAGCCCTGTGCACGATAACTGCTCCCGCGTGTCATTCAATTGCACAGCAGCAGTGGCAGTAGCAGTAGCAGCAGCAACAGCAGCAGCAGCAGCCGCTTTGGCGAGCGAGCCCCGCGAAAAAGAAAGCACTCCGCGAGCCGCGCAGAGCGAAGTGGCGAGGAAGGTTCGAGGTCGGAGCTGGCGATCCACAAGTGTGCACGCGATGCACACAGCGACAGAGACACGTAGACACGGGCGACTGGACGGCGGCTCCGCAGCGGACTGGCGTGCGGGGGAGCGCGCGAGCGAGCGAGCGCGACCGCGAGGGTGTGGCATTGCCGCACGTCGCTGGCCGCCGCGTACGTTAGGCTGGCTTCGCGTCGCCCGTTACGTAAGCGAGCGCGTGCACCGGGCAGCTCGGGGACCGCGGGGGCATACTGACCGTGGTAGTAGAGCGCCCCGGAGGCGTTGAGCGGCGGCGGCGAGGGCGCCGTGGCCCCGGCCGTCGGGCTGTGCGGGCCCCAGTGCGACTGCTGCGGCTGCGGCTGCGGCGGGGCCTGCTGCGGCTGCGGCGCCGCCGACGGGGCGCCAGTCTGGCCGTCGCCCACCACATCGATCTCCTCGTCGTCGGTCTGCGGCGGCTCGAGCAGCAGCCGCTCCGACGACCAGGGGTAGGCCTTCCACTTCTTGGCCATCAGGCAGCGCGGCATCCTGCTCGGGTGCGCTCGGCCGCGGCTAGGACTTGTTGCTGCTGGTCCGGGTGCTGCTGACCGAAGGCGGCCGCGCTCCGCTCATCGGCGCGCCGTCCCCGACTCCGCGCACGCGGCGGCGCTCGCTCTGTCGGCCTCGCGCTCCTGCTCTCTCCTGCCCGCGCTCCTCTGGCTGGCTCTCGGCTCTGCGGCGGCGGCGGCGACGACGGACGAACGAGCCGCTTGCTCCCCTGCCGAACGACTGCCGCGCTGCCGCTCTGCCGCTCGCCACCGAACTCGCTCTGCTGAGGGAGCGCCAGCCAACGCCACGGCGGCGGCACCCCCCGCCCTATGCGGCGCTGCCGCTCCGCCGCGCGCCTCGCCCCGCCGCCGCGCGTCGGGGGGTGGCCTGCACTTCGCGCCGTCGGCCTCCGCGCGCCGCGTCCCTGCGGCCCTGTGTGCATGCAGCGCCAGCGCGGGCACGCCAGCGGCCAATCTGGGGGCTGCCCGTGCCACTTGGCTCGTCCGCGAGTCGACCGACGGCCTCTCCCCGCTCGCTCTCGCGAACCTCGTCGCCCACTGCGGCCACGGCGGATCGGCCGACGCGCTCGGGCTCCTTCGGCCAACCTCCGCGGATCCCTTTTCCACTTCGTAATAGTGTCACATTTGATCCAATTTCGCCGTGTAGGCGCGCGACTTCATAATTCAATAAGGACTCGCGTCCCGCTCCGAAGTACGCCCAGCTTGCCAGCAGCGTCGTTCTTGTGCCGCCTAATAAGACTTCGTAGCGCGACGCAAGACGCTAGACGCTCATGGCTCTCGACGTTTTCGCCGTGCCCTTGCTAATGGGATCCCGCGGCGCGGTGTTCTAGGGCTGGTATGATTGCGCGCTCGGCGTCGGCAGCGCAGCTCTCGGCGGCGCGTACGTGTTGAGCCTCCGCAACAGTGCCGATGTGAATTTAAATGTGGGCGAGAGAGGAGAGCCGTGTGTGCGGTGCTAAGCTACACGAGCGCGCGCGCGCGCATCGCAAGCCCGTCGCGTGCACGTCATCCCTGTTGCGCAGACACAGCGTCGACGGGGCAGAGCGCGAGGAAAGCCAAGCCAGCAGCAAGGGGTGGGGGAGGGGAGGGGGAGGGGGAGAGGGCGCAAGACAACACGGTAGGGGCGCACATGCGCACGTGCCCGAGCCGATCGACCCGCAACACCTAGCAAACTCGACGACGAGTCGCGTTGCATTTGTGTGCGCGCACTCTTTCGTTCTCCCCACGTGCCCAATGCCCCGTGCCGTCGCGTCGCCCGCCTGCCACCCCGCGACTCGCGAGCACACGGACACAGCCGAGTAGTATCGAATATCCCACTGGCCTTCCTTTCCTTCTGCTCACCCGCGAGACAGACCTGCACGCGCGTGTGTTTGTGTGTGTGTGTGTGTGTGTGTGTGCGTGCCGCGGCTATATCCACTGACCCACGCCAACGTACATTACCTATACCTATCTCTCGCTCTGGCTCTACGCTGCATCTGTCCTTCGTTGCTGCGCTGCTGGCACGATCCTGCCAAGGGGAGCAACGCCACCTTATCGCTGCCGCCCCAAACGAATTAAAGCTTCTCGTTCGCTGCCGCACGCGCGCGCGGATGGACTTTTCACGCCTGAATCTCATCAAGCGCATTCAGTGCGCTGCTTTCCCCGTTTTTCGACGCACGATCCCCCTACGCATACTTCGGTTCTTAGCATTTCCCATAGACGACACAACGTGGGACTGCTGCGATCTATTGCAATAATTTAAAGGGATAGCGGCGACCACTTGACCATGCGTCATTTATTCCACTCTTACACATGCTAATATTGTCGCAACGGCTATTATTGGTGATGGAGAGGCTAATACATGTTTCCGGACTATTTCGATCATGTTAGATTGACGCGAATATGACACATTTTTTTGATACTTTTCGATTTCACACGCACCATATTTGTACTCGGTTGAAACGCATATGCCAATGTTTTTTCTCGAGTTTATTTTTGTCGTTATCTATTTTATATTCGTTGACGTCAACGTCATTCCAGCATAATTCGAGCTTCATCTTCTCAACAATAAAAATTATTTTTCTTATTATCTTAGTAAGATTACAGTCCGTACAATTTTATTTATAAAAATGAAGAAAATTTTCCGTGTTAACAGCGAAATGTAAGATAAGCGTGGAGCATTGACGTCAAGCAAATATTAGTAGAGTTTAGCACTTAGTTTCATATTAATAATTCGTGGGAAAAGAACTCATTATTATTCTGCCTCACTGACAATTAACAACAAGATTTGGCAAGGCCTCATGAATAAAGATAAGAATATCCAGCGTAACTTTGACGTTATTATGAGGAAACCCGACGAACCAATTGAGGAGACAAGGAAAATCGGCTCTATTTGACAGTAGCAAAACTCGGTATGCGCGACTGCGTGAAGCGAAAGGGCAAAGACCTTTTTCCGTTGCAGCAGCTGCCACGCACTCACAGGCACCTATGCGCTCGCTCTAATAAGTAACGTATTGTCGCTTTCTCTCGTAGCTTCCATGTGTCTATCTGTGCACACGCGCCTAGCAATGTATACGGTTACTCAGGCCACATTGGAATGTCTTGCAACGCAATAACCACGCCAGACACTCACATCTGACTGACCGCTCGCTCGAGCACCACCTGCTGCTGCATTCGTTTTTCGGCTACCGTCAGCTCAGCTCGCCCAATCATTGAATCCGCTCCGAATCATCGCAGTTGTCAAATGAGGCCAGACAGTTGAACGGCAAGGCAGACAAAGTGTTGCAATTCTAAAGTTTGATTCGCGAACAACTGCGTGCAAGCTGCAGTTACCAGGCGTGCCATTTTATTTCAAGCTACTGTTATACTGCTTCGGTGCGGAGTTATAAAACCCCTTGAACATGAATCACGTTGTTGAGTCACTCTCTCTTTCGGAATATTAAGTAGCCCGATACACTATCTTAGTGGAATAATTTCCTTTTCGCTGGCGACGCCGTGAGGGCTCTTTGTGCACGAGGCTTCACCCGAGACAGGCTGGATGCGATTAATATCGTACAGAACAGTTCGCTTAATTATTCGGCTACGATGATTTTTAAGAAGATCGTCGAAGAAAAATGGAAAAAATCTATCGATGACGATATATATTCCAATTCAGAAAATAACGATTTGAATAAGCTACCGAATGAACATCATTTGCAAAGTAGCTTTAGACACATCATCTCGAACGATATTCTTATCAAGATATATAGCGAAAGAGAGAGAACTAGCTGACCCATATATAGCCGAGTGTAGGACCAAATGTTTTTACCCCGCGGAAAAAAACCCATTTTTCTAGTTCGCCAACGGGGCGTACATATACGTCGTTAGATATCGAAATGAGAAAGAGGGAAAGCAACAACTACTAGTTGGGGCGAGCAAAAGAAAAAAAAAACTGATGTATACGAGAAACGTGTGTGAGAAAGCGACAGATGCCATCTCTGAGTCGATCGAAGGCAGGAATATCGACGTGCTATTTTCCTCGGTACACTGGCGCAACGCAGGCTGCACACACACGCGCACACACGCAGAGCAGCAGCAGCAGCATCTCCCCGAGAGAAGATGCGCACAGCTGTATTTGATGATCGACCGTGGCACGGCGAAGCTTATATCAGAAACCATTATCAACAGTTTCCACGCAGGCAGTATATTGCAATTTTTCCAGACAAATATTACGTCAACAAGCTTTTCTTTTTCTCCGCCCCTCCTCGTATTACGTGAAAAAGAAAATAGTTTTGGTTTCTTTCTTGCCAAATGTCGATACTTTCTAGACTTGGTCTATGCGACGTACTGCTCCGTCATTATTTCGTACTATTGTTATCATTATTTTCTCCCAGGCTGACCTAGAATCGTGCGTAATGCATTCACTTCTCCATCATAAACTTTGATGTATTTTATCTATAGGTCGAGCGTTATAGTATAAGGCGAAAATGAATATCAGCTGATATACGCCGGAAAAGTGCCCATAAAAGATATATATACACGTATATAGACCAAACGATGACTCAAAACGAGACGATGGCGCGTTTAATCCAACTCGGGAAATAACACCAGCCGAGAGGAAAAATGGCAAATCAGAAAAACAGTTGAAAAGGAGCGAGAATCAAGAAAGCTCGGCGACAAAGAAAAAACATAAAAGATACACGCACGCGTGGCGTCGAGGATAAAGGGGAGGTCCGCATAAAGTCATTACCCCGATAAAAAAATACAAGGAATCCCCCTTTCCCCCGGAAAAGGAGCCCAACGACGCTGACGACGACGCCGGCGGAAAAAAAATGATGTACGGAAACGGACAGGGTCCGTGATGATTCGTGTATGTATTTGGCGCCGAGTTGGCAAATAAAAAATCTCGAATATCACGCGTACACACGCGTAAGCGTACGCAAGATAGGAAAGTCTATCCTAGTAAAGTAGCTCCTCCTCCCCATCGGCATTTTTTCTCAATATACGATAAAGGGTCTCTGGGTTGTTCAGTTCGACTCGGACACAACAATAGGTCAGTGGGGTCGGACACACAACGGGATGTCCACGTTCGTTAAATCAACAGATAAAATTATGTATATACAGAAGGAGGTCAATTTTCCCTTCTTCGTTTCTTCGAGCCTCTCTTTCTCGCAGCCTCCGAGCAGTCTCTTTTGTTTATCTTTCGCCATCGAACGTGAAGATAATTCAACTGAATGCCTAAATATGCAGAAAGCTAAAACGATGATAAATGATTCACCGAAGGTTTATTGCTGCAAAATTTACCTGGCCGTTTATTCACACTTGGCTGCGCTAGGATTTGGAACGATCGTGTAAATAGACGTTCAACATTCGAGTAGGGGCTCCGCGCGACTCTACCAGCAGCTCTCTCCCCCTATAAATTTTCTTTCGGGGCTAGATAAGAAAGTAGTAGCAGTAACAGACAGCGTCTCTAACTGCAAAGTCAGATCGATACACACACGCGTGCATACGCACACACACACGCGCGAGGCACGTGCATTCGTGCGATTAATTTTAGATGTAGAATGCTTGAACGTTGATGATTATGCTGCAAGCAAAAATTATGCAAACTCCTTTTATCGGCTGCTTTCGTAGATGGCTAAACATTTGCAACTGGTTGTGATTTGACGAGGGCCCATCGAGTATAAGCCACAAAGCACGGACACACGAAGCTGCAGACGAAATCGATAGAACATTTTAGGCGGCAGCAGAAGCAGCGGAGAA